TGGAAATTTCCCTTAGGAGCTGGTATTGGAGCCAGGGAACCGCCAGGTGGCTGGAAGTAAACTCGTTTTCATCTATCCAGCATCTATAGCGAGCTGGGACAGACAGACACACAGAACCCAGCGGCCTGCTGCAGCGGTTGGCCTCGGAGCAGGGAGACGGGATAGGAAATCCACAACCAAATGACAGGCCTTAGGCTGTGATGTGCAGCCACTTCACCGAGGTCCAATGGGCTAGTGGAAATGCGCTCAGGAAGGGATACATGGACCTGCTGGGGCAGACTGACAGAGCTGTCAGTGGTCCCTGATCATTGTCTAATGGCAGGTGGAGGAAGAGAAGACTCTTCTTCAGAGATGAGATCTCAGAGACCCCTCAGGAGAGACACATAGGCGAGAGCCGTCTGGACAAATGGAGAGAAAGAACCGTCGGGCAGAGGAAAAAATGTTCAAAGGCCCTGGGGTCTTTGAATGGCTGGGAGGGAAGGAAAGCTGGGAAGAAGATGACCAGACAGTGGAGAGAGGCATGGAGTCTGGGCGGGGCTTCTGGATGGTTATCTGGGGCAGCTGGGGCCATGAGGTCAGGACATGGGGGAGTTTCTACAACAGTGCGGCGGGCTCTCAGGATATCAAGAAACAATCAAGTCGGACTGAAATAATAAACAGTATCAAGACTTCAGTCATCAACTACGCCGCTTAACAACCCAACAGCTCAGAGAGCCGACTGTGTATCTGGAACTAAGACCTCTCTGAGGCAGCTTTTGTTTGTTGTGAAGACAAGAATCTTTGCCCAGCCCGACTGAGCCCTGGGGGGACTAGGTTTATTGACTGGACTTAGAGGAAACGGGGAGCCACATATGGGTGGGGAGGTCACTCAGGGCCCCTGTGACCATTCTGGAGAGTTACCCTGCTGAAAGTGCCCCCCCCCCATCCTGTTCTGGGAGTCAAGCAGACCCAGGGTGGGGCCAGGAGGCCTGATTCCCCGGCCTGGGCACCTTCCTGTGTCTATGTGTACCCTTCCCTAACGCCAGCTTCGGTGGCAACTCCTTCAGGAGGTCTCTGTGCAGCTGGTCCCCACATCTGGGATCACCTCAATTCCTACCTAACAAGCTCCCCCAGTCCCCTGTACTTCTCTTGAGCCTGTTGGTTAAAATGGCCTGGCTATGATATATGTAATGTTTCCACCCGATCACACCTCCTACCGGGTGATTCTCTGTTCTGTGTGTGTGTGTGTGTGTGTGTGTGTGTGTGTGTGTGTGTGCGCAGTGGGGGTGGGGTGGGGTGTGTGTTCTCTTCTGGCCGTTGTAGGATGTTTAGCAACACCTCTGGCCTCAGCCCATGAGATTCCAGTAGTGTCCTCTCACAGTTGTGACTACCAAAAATATCTCCAAAATTGCCAGATGTCCCTTGAGAAGCCCTGAAATCAAGCATTTGATGTCTGCTTCTTCCTGGAGTAGGAGCCCAGGTTGGGGAGGGGAGGAGAAAGCCTCCTGGTGGGGGTGGGGGTAGACCATGCCCACCAGTAATCCTTGTGACCCAGTCTTGCTTTGTGACTCCTATTTAGTAGATGTTCAATATGAATTGCGTTGATTAAATGAATTCCTGAAACTGAGTTCATTCTTTAAATTAATGAATAAGTTAATTTAGAGAAAAGCATTGGTGAGTGTGTGTAAAGTGTTGTTAAATGTGTAAAATGTTATAGCGACCCTGTATAGGGTTTCCAGGGAGCGGCTGATGAGCTTGAACCACCAAACTTGTGGTTTAAATGACTTTGCAGTCCAGCGCATTAGCCCACAGAGCCACACTGTTTTCCATCTGAGCAACCTCCTGGGTCCCACTCATAGCGACTGTGATTCAGTGCGTTTCCAGTACAGCCTGGGAATCTGTATTGTCAGAATGCATTATCCAGTCAGGTCTGGGAAGGTGGGGAGTTGTGGGCGGGGGTGGGGAAGGATGGAGCAGAAGACCATACAGGCTTTTCTGGGCCTTGTAGTGACTTTTCAAGAAGGTGGCCCTTCTGTCGGGGTACACATACAAACGCCTACAGAGGCTGTCAGGTTACATGAATGAGGGACTCCTGTTAGGTGGGGACGGGCCTCGTGTGGAGACCACATGCCCTGTCCTGGGACAGCTGCTGCCCTTCATGGCCGATTATTGCCATGTGGGACACCCAGCCATGTGAGAGAAGTTAGAAATCTGGACTTGTATGTGAAATCTAGTGTTTAAATGTTGGCAGCTGGTTTGGTGAGCAAGGAAACAAACAAGTCATGCGTGGGCCAAACAGAATGACTGCAGTCCTCCCAGCTGAGCTTGGCAGTCCTGGGCCGAGCGCCATTCCCGTTCCTGCTCTGGTCCCAGAGCTCTGGTGTCATGTTCGAGGTCTGACACCGGCGTTCTCTTTGGTCCTCTGAGAACTTCCCTTGCTTTGAGTGCACCCAAATGGGTGAGAGTCTAGGGCCCAGGCTGGAGTCTTGGCTCTGTCACTTAGGAGCTGAGCTGCCATTGGTGACTTGGCTTCCCTGGCCCAGGCCTCAGTTTACACATCTCTTAAGTGGGAATAGGGTGAGGATTGCAGGAGAGGACATGTGAGGAGCATAGCCCAAGGCAAGGTATGGTGGGGGTGGTTTATGATGTGGTGGTGATGTGGAATTGATTTGTGTGATGTGTTGTAATGTGTGTGTGGTGTGTGTACGGTGTAGTGTTTGTATGGTGTAGTGTGATGTGATGTGTGTGGTGGGGTGTGTGTAATGTGATATTTAGTGCATGATGCATATATGGTGTGTGTGTTGTATGTGTATGGCACGTGAGGTGTGTGTGCTATGTTGTGGGGGGTGTGTGTGTGAGGTGTGTAATATGCAGAGTATGTGATATGTGTGTGTGGTATTTGGTGTGGTGATGTATGTTGTGTTTGTATGGCATGTGGGGTGTGTGTGCTTTTTTGTGTGGTGTGGTATGGGGTGTGTGGTATGTGGAGTATGTGATATGTG